CTCCCGCCTTCGAGGCCGGGAGAAACTTCCCCGGAAAAAGTCAGACGCGAAGGAGCGCGGTGAGCCGGGAGGTGGGGAAAAAGGGGCGCCGCACCCCGCCCGGCCTGGGAGGGGATCCCGGAGCCCCAAGGAGAGACCGCTGAGGGGACAGGGAAAGACCCGTGGACCCCCCTGCGGGCCGGGGTTGGGGGCCGGGGCAGGCAGGGGTCCTGGAAGTAGCGGGCTAGGGGGAGAGGGGGCGCGGACCGTTATGTGCGCCCGGCCAGGGATGCCAGCGCTGCGCGCTCCTTGGGAGGCCCGGGAGGGGGCCTCGCCCCTGACAGGAAATGGGGCCGAGACACAGCGCCTGGAGAGTAGAGGGGAGGAGGAGCCGGGAGGCCGAGAAACTGGGGCTTAGTCAGGCCAGGCAGGGGACACTCCGAGCCCTAGAGACCTGGGATGGGAGATGGGGGGCGTAGTCCTGCAGGGGAGGGAGAGATGCGGTGCATCAATCACGGTGGCCAGCCCCCACCTCCTCTCACCTATTAACCAGTGACTGCCTCTGCACCCACCTGAGGCAGCCCCAGGAAACTGTTCCCGTCATACAGATGGGGAAACTGAGGCATGGAGCAGTTGGATAATTTACACAGTGCCAGTGAAGTGACTTAACAGCTCATAGGACTATATTATTAAGTGAGACTCCTGCGAGAGAGTCCTGGGGAGTGGAAATCTGAGGTGATCAGTGGAGGGATTCGGCAGGCAGGAAAGACCAGACCTTAAAGAAATGGGAGCTGCGTGGAACAGGAAGTCCAGGAAAGGAAGGAGTTAAAGGAGGGAGGGCAGAGGACTCCATGGATCAGACCTCCCCCAAGCCCTTCCCAGATTCCCAAGGTTCCCAGAGCCGAGAGAAGGGACCGGGGTGCCCACGCACAAACACACACAGGAAACAGCCCAGGATGTCAGGGAGAGGAGGATGGGGGGTGCGAGGCGGGGCTAGGCCCCAAGGCATTGACCATGGGAATCTGGCCTGAAGAACAGGGCACAGTCCAGGATGGGGGCAGAGTTTGGAAGGTTGGCAGGGAGGTGGGGGGGGTGACGTGTCACAGGTAAGGGAAGACTCTGCACTCACTGTCATGCCTGCTCTTGTCTTCCAAGCAAGCTAGCCATCGTCCACTGTGGGCTACGTGCTTGACCAAGATCTGAGTGCCTAGGAGGTGCTCCCCTCGCGGAGCTCCCTGAAGTCTCCTTGGGGGAAGACCTCAAATCCCCCCATTTCACAGGACACTGAGGCTCAGAGATGGAAAGTGACTTGCACAAAGCTACCTAGTGAGAAGGGACAGGGGAAGGGCTCCACACCAGAGTTAATGAGAGGCGTGGGGAATGCAGGGCCCAGGACCAGAGAAACCCCACTGGACCTCTGAGGCTGGAAGGCTGAGGCAGAGTCCTGTTTGGAACAACAGGGCGGGGGAGGGGGTGAAGGGGGCTCTAAGCTGGTAACAGATTGCTGGCTGGACTGCAGCCACTCATTCCAAATGAATGTATGGAGTGTCAGTGCTGAGTGCCCCCCAGCCCCAG